TTTTTTTTTTTTTTCTCCACTTTCAAATTCCCTAGCGTCCTCTCTTCCCCAAATCCATTTGCTTCTTTTCCTAATCTAGTCAGATCATAGATGTGGCACAAAACATATAAAAATTTATTAAAATGTGGAAACTCTTTGACTCTTAAGCCACCTCAAATATAATTTGCCTAGATGGTGTCAAAACTTAATATCCTTTTTGAGTTTTTTTTTGGTAAAACTGTCATAGCTGACTTTTGATATCTAAAGCAAATTCTATCTGAGCATTTAAGTATTCCACTGGGAGATTTATGTCACTGACTTCAATTGCAAAACACACATCCTTTTTTGAATCTTCCTTATGCATATGACCCATCACTGGAGTTTATGCTACAGAAGACTCAATTTCTCTGTAAAATTTAGAAGAAACAAATCTAAAATTCCTCGTAAACAAATTAAATCCTTGTTAACTCCAAAATGGCTATGCTCTGGAAATCACTCCTCGCAGATCAAATCCCAGAGAATGGACTGGATTGTTCTGTTGTACTGTAATGAAATTAGACTGAGGTGAATATAGCTTAAAATATGCATTCTGGGCCATATGGAACTGTTATTCATATTGTTGGCATAGTGTGTGTGAGGCACAAATGTGATAATATATGGGGGATGCTCTGAAAATTGTAAAAAGCAACACAAATGCGAGGTTGACATTTCTCGCCCCAAATTGCCAAGAAGTGTTTCCTTCCTAAGGCCAGGCCTTGGTGAATACCAGGTACACAGCGATTTGAGATGAGGATCATGACAGCGATTCTTGGCTTTCTTGCCTCTGCCTTCATCCTCTGACAAGGCCAGAATAGCTCAGGGACGCCTGGCCAATTGCTGGAACCAAGCTGAGGACCCTGCTAGGACAGACATCACCTCTCTGAGCCTGTTTCCTCACGGGGACCATACTTCATAGAGTTGTGGTAACGGTTAAATGAGATTATGTGGGCAAAGTTCATAAGCACTGGGGACATAGTAAGTGGTCAACAAATGGGAACTATTATTGGTTTCATCCTCCTCCTCATCCCCCGGGTCACTACTGACAGGCCAGGAAGGGCCCCCTCGGCCCCAGTCGCTATGCATATGACCTATGTCAGCTTCAGCTCCTGCCAAGGACTTCCAAAAGCCCTTAATAGGGCAGGAAACAGTATTGTCGGGTTGCTGAGCGAAGAGACCCATCCTCACGCCTGTGGAATCCTTAAAGGGCAACGCCGACGGGTTCAGCGGGTCAACTGCTTAAGAACCTTTCAAGGGGCGTGGCTTCCGAGAAGAGCGAGACGAACCTCCAGGCGGGGGCGGAGCCAGAGGCCCAGCGCTCCAGAGGCTGAGGTCATGCAAATAAGATATGAATATGCTAATATACCCAGGTTTCCCACTGAATGGGAGGGCCCCCGCGCGAACTGGCAGAGCCGGCGAGGGAAAAGGAGAGGACATGAAGAGGACGCAGAGGCGCAACCGCGCTGCTGGACCGAACCCACCTCGCGCTGGGCGGAGACGTCCCTCCCCCAGGACCGGGATCCCGCGGCCCCACTAGCGCGGCCCTTGGGCCCCTCTGGCCCCTCACCGAGGGTGATGAAGGGGTGGAGATGGCAGGTTCTCTTGACAGCAGTGAGGGGCTCCGGCCGAATTCAGGAAACAAAAATTCTCGCCAGCAATACCACCTTGATTTAGAGATGGGGAAACTGAGGCCCAAGAGGGTAAGCCCCTTCTCCAAAGTCTCAGTGCTTGCGGCAGAAGCGCTCAGTTTAGCAGGTTTTGTTCGTCTTTTTTTTGTTTTGTTTTCACTAGAACACGCGGACAACACTCTGTAGTTGAACACGCCGCAAAACTTGGTCCATTACCAAGCATGGGACTAACCACCAGGCCAGCGGATTTAGAAAAGAGTACTTGCTGGGGAAAAATGAAAGGCGTTGGGGTGACAGCCAGTAGCAGTAGCAGGGAAGACAAATTATCGCAGACCGGTCTGGAATGTGTTGCTAAGTAAAAGGTGATGAAGTGTTCCAGCTTCCCTGAGAACCAGCTCAGAGGAAATGAAAGGGGAACAGAAAGGATTAGGATTAGATTTAAGGCAGCACTTTCCCTCAGGGATGATAATGGGGCCCTTTATTTAGTGACCAAGGAAGGCTGTGGACTCGCTCCCCTCCCTCCCACTTCTGAGGCCTTTGGGAATCCATCTCCCTCCAGTCCCACGAGGGCCAGCGTGGAGGACAGGAATGAAGGATTGACTTTGAAAAGTCCCCACCATTCAGGGAGGAGATCCTTTCCCTGAATGGGCCTCCTGGGCTCTCTGCTGAGGGTGAGGACAGCAGACGCGCAGGCTCCGGGGCCCTGGGGGGAGACGCAGCAGTCACGGCATCTCTTGCAACACACTCCCTGCCAAATTGATTCAAATTGGCTTGGATATGAACATATGATTAAAGGAGCGGCACGATTCATTTATCAGGAGAGATTAAAGAGCGGCATCTGCACAGCCTAGCTGGGGGACAATTAAGGAGCAAATCGCTAAGTGTCTGTGCCACCAGGCATGGGGGCAGGGCATGGGGGAAGGACAACTGGGATAATCTGCCAAGAGGACACGGGACAAAAGGAGGAAGTTTGGGAGTCGCTGCGTGCCACTGTGGTCTCTGGGCACGGACCAAGCACAATGGGGAGCTTCACAGGGCTTTGGTCTCTGCCCATGCCTCTTATCCAGGAGTCAGAGCAATCCCGAGGGTCTGAGATTAGAGAGGAGGATCTATGAGGCGGCTCTGAGCCTGGCACAGGGACAGACTCTGCCTGGTTTGCAGGAATCACTTACATGTTAGCAACCAGAGCTACCCTGAGTGTACAGGTGAGGGCAGGAGCTTACAGATCTCTGAAGGCACACCCAAACTAAAGATGGGCTTTGATGGCCCTGCAGGCCCCTGGACTCCCCAGGGTAGTTGGTGCTGAGGGAATTGCCTCTTTCCCAGCCCGGAGCCCAGCACCCTGGCCGAGGGGCTTTGCTGCAGCTTGGAGAAGCATTAGTCATGTGAGGCGATGTCTGGCTTCCCCAGACAGCCTGTAGAGCTCCCTACCGCCACCTGTCATTCTCAGGGCCTTTGCTTCTTTCTTCCCAGCACACCTGTCCCAGCAATGTCTCCCTGTGGAAGTGCTATCCTTTCTTCAAGCCCCAGCTCCACATACCAGCTCCTGTTAGAAGCTTTCCCAGTCGTCCCAACCTCCTCACATGAGAGTGTCTTCTCCCCTAATATGCCCAAAGCAACTTCTTCGTCCTTCTCTCATGTAATTATTTCCACCTGGGTCTGCCCTAGTGCCAATGCACGAGCCCCTGGAGGACATGATTACAGTGTTTGTAATCACCCCAAGCTTGCACATATTAGTAGGTGCAGTACATATTTTGTGTTTCTGACTCCTCCACTAGAATATCCACTTTATGAAGGTGGGGAGCTCGTCCATCCCCAGCACTTAGAATGTGCCTAGACTCACAGCAGGCTGTTGAGTGAATGAATAAAGGAATAATAGAAGTTTTCTGACTTGAACAAAGCCGCCTGCCCCAGGCCAGGCCACTGGAGACTGATGCTGGACTTTCCAGTTAGCCCAAGGCCTGCGTCATGGCGGCGAACAGAGTTGAGATCTTGCCTACAGGTAGCAGGGACTATGTCATACTAGTTCCCGGGAGAAACAGAAAATGCACCAAGCTATTTGAAAGCAGGAGTAAAAGATGAGTGATAGAACTGAACTTGAGGAGCCAGCAGTTTAAAAAAATAAATAACTTCACTTTTACTTCTTTCTCTATTCAACCTTGGAGGGCAGTGGAGAAGGGCAGTCTCTTTCATTCAAGATGGATCCATTTTACACTTCTCTCCCACTCATTTTGGGGGTGACTCTTCTCCCTCCTTCCCTTTCTTGATCCTTTCTGGGTGTGACATCACCAGAGCCTTGGCATTAGGGCTGTCTGATACCCTTTCCTGCCTACTGCCCAAACGACGGGAGCCTGGATAACCAGCTGTAAATACTTTATGCACGCAGGGGTTATAACTGGTCACATTACAGAAGGTAAAGGAGGAGGAGGGACTCGTTTGTTTCTTTCTCTTCTGCATGAACTGTCTCTTAGCTGCCCATGAGGGAACTCTGCATAGACTGGGTCACAAGGCAGAGACTTAACAGGGTGGAGAAGCTAGCACTCCCAGCCTATTCAAGTTGCCCTGTGGCCAGTGGGGTTGGAGGCCAGAGAGAGTTCTGCCAAGTTTTGATCAAAAAGTCATCTTTGGAATGACTAAACTTTTTGTTTTTTTAAATTGACATATTTATGGGCTTTTTTTTTTTTTTTAAACATTTATTTATTTATTTAGTGTGTGTGTGAGGAAGATCAGCCCTGAGCTAACATCCATGCCAATCCTCCTCTTTTTAGTGAGGAAGACCGGCCCTGAGCTAACATCCGTGCCCATCCTCCTCCACTTTATATGGGACACCACCACAGCATGGCCTGACAAGTGGTGTGTCGGTGCACGCCCAGGGTCTGAACCCGGGCCGCCAGCAGTATAGCGTGCGCACTCAACTGCTACACCACAGGGCTGGCCCTAAAATTAAACTTAAAAAAAAAAATTCGAATAAAACCAGCTTGCATCCCTTAAAAAAAGTTAGAGAAGATAGGATCTCTGTAATTAGTAAGATTTAACAATCAGAGAGACCCCAACATTCCCAAGTGGAGGCCAGGGGAGGAGTAGACCTGGACAGCTCTGCCAACCTGAATGACAATCCATAGGCTCTTAAAATAAAAGGTGGGTTTGTGTCTTCCTTGACCAATCTTCTCATCCCATTTCCTCTGCCTGCCCCAAATGACCTGCCAAAGCCCTCTGAGTGGCACTGGTCTGACGTGGGAGCAGGCTAGAGACCAGGGTGATTCCCCTGGGTCACCACCAGGATCCTGACTCTGCTCCCCTGTGATCACCCTCGACTTTACCTGAGCCTGAAGAAACAGGCAGGAAAATTGGCGGAGCCAGGAGGAAAAGGACATTTATTTCCATACATCAGGTAAACAGGCAAGAGAGAGCACAGCCCAATGAGTACAAACCAATTGCAGGAGAGAAGGGGGGACAGCAGATGGGAGTGGCACCAGGCACTGCCCTTGGGCCCCCAAGTTTGGTGGTGTTGGTGGGATGACGTTTAGCGTAGGGGCTGGGACCATCAGGCAGCATGTTGTCATATCTGGGATAAGTGTTGGGGGGCAGGGCGACTGGAAAAAGAAAAATGACTCAGGCTCAGAACACAGGGCGAGGACTCGTGTCTAACACACATCAGTGCTGACCAAAACTTCCATCTTCAGTTTTTCTGATCACAAGCCCTCAACCCAAGGCCTTCCCTCTCAAGTTGACCTTATGGTCCAGGCAACTTGGACAGAGCAGGAGGGAGGCAGTGCTTGGATAAGCCCCAAATTGGCGTAGGTGGAATGGGTTTACTCTTAAATAGGTCATTGCACTTAACACACGGATGAGACGAAGAGGGGTGGGGGCTGGAAGTTCTGGATGGTACATATGCACCCCTGTCTGTGTAGGCTTGTTCACTCCAAACCCAGAAGCACCTGAGAGCCCCTCCCCACGCGGACCCAGCTCTGCTGACCAGTCTCTCCAGCTGCACAGAGAAAGGACTGCTCTCTGAAGAGGGAAGATGGAGATGAGATTCCCCTAGTCATTCCCGGGGGTCCCAGCTGCCACCGCAGCTCCCTCCCACTCTCAGGGATGCAGCTGTGATGGAGAGGTTGGGTATTTAAATTAGAAAGTAAAAAGACAGCAGGCACTGAGAAGAGAAAGCCCTCACCCCAAGCCAGGGGGAAGGAATTGCTGTTCCCGCCCCCAACTCCTCCCTATGGACCCAGCAACCTAGAATGTCCCAGTAGGCAATCTGTCCACCGTCCCTGAGCAGGGGGCTGAGATGGAGGTCAACTTGCTGGCTCTATGCAGTGCCAAGCCACCTGCCACTGCCCACGGTGGCCCAAGGTAGAAGCCAAGAGTACAGCATTTTGGAGGCAGAAGGAGCAAAAAGTTCTCTTTTCACAAGCTCCTCTTCCCCGGACCTCTTCCATGGGGAGACGCCAGACACCCACAGCCTGGAAAACCCCGTGACCGAAGAGGGTTGGGTGTTTCCCATGTGGATCCGCAGTCCGGTGAGTGACACCTGTGCCCTGCCATTTCCTGGGAGAGGTGCCATGGCAGCAGTAGGCCGTGGGTGGGAGGGGTGTGGACCATTCCCCTGGGCTATGCGTTGGTTTCCATTGGCTTGGCCTCTGTGTCGCTGTCACTCAGATAGTTGTGGGAGTATTGGGGCCTGGAGGTGCTGTTGAGAGGGTCGTGCTCATCATCTGAGCGGTCAGGGGCAGGGGACTTCCAGTAGCTGGTGGGGCTGCAGGGAGAGAAGAATGAGGTGAGGGAGGACTGACACTCCTAACCTTCAGCACCAAAGCCTTCGGGCCTGGGGAGGCCCAGTAAGCCCTGTCATAGCATTGCCCGAAAACCACAAATTGAGAAGTAAAAACCTTCCCCGGCTTTCCCAGAAGATACTCAGAGTAGTAAGAGAAAGGAGCACATTGTTTTGACTCTGAAAGCTTTGAAAATTCTGAGGAAAGTGATGCTGCGGAGCAGTGGGTCTCAGACTTGTGTGCGCATAAGAATCAGCTGCAGATTCCTGGGTCCTTCCCCTGAGAACTTTTGATTCGATAGCTCTTGGGTGGAACCCAGGAATTCTGCATTTTCAACTCCTTCCCCAGAAGATTCTGATGCAGGTGGTCCATGGACCACAACAGAGACTGTAGGCTTTGGTGATTACATGTGTACAACTTGTCTAAGGTACAGTTATTTCTAAAAAGATTCCTTCTAAGAAGGAGGGCCTTCCCCACTGAATACTCCCAGATCTTAATCCTTTCTCCTAATCAGGTTTTCCTAAGGCCTGTGAGGATTTCTGCCCTTGACCATGGCATCATCTACTCAACACAAGGAATGGAGACTCAGCAAGTAGGACTGGCAAGACCTCTGTCTCAGGGTGTCAGAGCCATCCCTTTCTTGGTACCATAACCCAACCCGTAGAGTTTTCATCAGGTTACTGGCAGCCCCCAGCTATCCCCCCACCAAGATGTGAAGAAGCACTATCCCCTGGATGGAGTGGGCTCATGGCATCGAGCAAGGATGGGACCTCATCCAGCTCCAGTCACCTTCTCTTCTCTTTCTTTCTCAAAGCCTTAAGAGCCACCATCCCCTGCTCCTCCCACCTCCATTGCCCCTGCCAGTTCAAGTGCACTATAATTTCAACACTCTTGGAGAAAATACAGCCCAGGGTGGCTCCACCCCTATCTGCCCTGCACTCAGTAGACCCCTGCCCCGTGCACCCAGGGATACAGCCCTGCTTCCAGATCCTGGAGAGCTTCCCCTGGGATAAACAGGAATTCTGTGACCCCGCTGCCTACAATCCTGACTTAAGAATCTGAGGATGGGCCGGCCCCATGGCTTAGCGGTTATGTGCGCGCGCTCCGCTACTGGCGGCCCGGGTTCGGATCCTGGTATGCATCGACGTGCCGCTGCTCCGGCCATGCTGAGGCCGCGTCCCACATACAGCAACTAGAAGGATGTGCAACTATGATGTACAACTATCTACTGGGGCTTTGGGGGAAAAAAAAAAAGGAGGAGGATTGGTAATAGATGTTAGCTCAGAGCTGGTCTTCCTCAGCAAAAAGAGGAGGATTAGCATGGATGTTAGCTCAGGGCTGATCTTCCTCACAAAAAAAAAAAAAAAAAGAATCTGAGAGGGCCCTTATTTCCTAGCCCTTTCAGAGTTCTTCTATCCCTAAACTCAAAGACGAGGAAACAGGAAACAGGTTCTTTCTGCAAGAAAGAACCACATCCTTCGCTTTTCCAACTGTGGTGAAGCAAGGATCTGGGCATTGAATATTTCCTGTGTGTGAGATGCTGTCCCAGGCACTCTGGATATGCTGTCTCATTCTTCACAATAGCCCTATGAAATGTCACAGGCAGCTGGCTCAAAGAGATGAACCGTCTTGCCCAAGGTCACACAGCCAGTATGTAAATTTGAACCCGGGACTCTTAGACTTTGAAGCCTTTTGGTGACTCCACCTTGCCCCTAGATTGGGTGACCCGAGGAGAAAACAAGACCACACCTGAATTCTCCCCACTGGCCTGGGTGAGAGCCCAGGGAGTGTGTAAAGATAGGTCTTTCTCTCTCTCTGTGGGGAGAAGGAAGAGCCTGATAGAATACATGTTCAATTATGCAAAATGGTTCAGGAATGGGGCAGCCTGGTTAATAGTTATCGTGTTTCTCATGAATGAATTACCATTTTTAAAGGAATCAGAATAGCACAAAACACATTTAATACAAACTAGACTGAACATAAATGAGTCTTACTTTGATGGGCCAAAGGCACTTAAGGACTCTGGGGTGTCTCAGGGACAAAATTATAAAGCTTAATGATGACTGTGCAACACAGAAAAAATTGGGGTTATTTTAGCTTTCGGGTTGTTTGAATTCTAAATTAGTGGGAGCCTGGTTTTAATTTTTTAGACAGAATTTCTGGGCACCCAGTGCTAAGGTCTGCTGTCGGGCAAAGGAAGGACTGGCTACGTGGAAAGACAGTGGGGTTATCTTGTGGGCAGAGGGGGGCCAAGCAGATGCCAGGGCTGGGACCCAGATGCAAATGGGGCACTGCTGGGAAGCCCGGGGGTGCTCCTTTCCATTCTCGCACCTTTCCTCAGAGTGGGGCCACAGCCCCTACTCCCACATTCCTGTGCCTGCCAGGCAGCCAGCCGGATAAATAACAGCTGGGTTTCAACACTGTTCCATCCGAATGCTGGGCCCAGTGGCAGAGGCGGCTGGAGGGGGGAAACTCCATGCCTCTCCCCTGCTCTGTGGAGCCGCAAGACCCCCTTGCTCCTTCCCTTGGGTGCTCTTTGGCCAGTCTCCTTCGGGGTTCTACTGCCGCAGCTGCCAGAGAACCAAAGCAGGCAGTGAGCCCCCTCCCCAGGGCAGGAGTCAGGGCTGGCAATTGGAGCATTTTAACCAAATTGTTTAAAAAGCTTTCCTCCCCACAAGCCAGTGTCTCCTGCTCAACGCTGTCACAAACAATTTAGTACATAAGCTAATTCCTGCTGGGCAAGCCCAGGGTGGCAGCCCCCTCCCCTTGCCTTTGCTATGCATGCATTGGTGTTCTGAATTCTCTGTCCTCACCACCAGATGGGAAGCTAAGCCACCACTCCGCCCCCACCCCCACTCTTGGCAGTTTATCCACCCAAAGCCAGTTCATGTTGAGTCCAACTAGGTCCTCCCTCCCCTGTCCCTCTCTCGCCGGCTCTGTATTGGTTGGCTAGCTTCTGGCTCGGTGCCCACTCTACCCGCAGTGAATCAATCCTCCTCGGAGGTGGTGCTGTGTAGGGTCTTAGGACTACTCCTGTTTTCCTGGTGGACAAGAGGAACTGTGCTGGTGGCTGGGGGAAGAAACAGGCTTTATGTGTTTTTGTTCTTGCTGGCTGTGGGGTCAAGGATGACAATGAGCTGAGGGCACTGGGTCCAAAATCCACCAGTTGCCAGTCAGAGTGGGATGGCTTGGCTAGGCCCATGTCTCCCTCTTCAGCTAGGAGTGCAGTGCTCAGAAGGGCCTGGCCCTCTCTGCTTTCCAAACCTCCCCGCCATGGTCCATCAACTGACTTCCTGCCCTGGGGCTGCAGGACACTCAGCAGGGCTGCAGAGGGGAAGGCTGAGGTGGTAGACACAATATTATGACTCCCGTCTTTTCTCACTATGGAGCTGACTACAACAGCTCCCTAGTGCAATTGAGATGCTTCCTGCTCTTTCCAGAGCACCCTGCGACCACCTGCCACATGTGGGGAGCGACAGAGCAGCGCTGAGCCCAAGGCTTGGTTTCAGAGCAGCTCAGGGCCTGAGGAATCTGAGCTGGCCATGAGCCTGGACTGGGTTCAAGTTCCACCTCCCTCATCCCATCCCCTCTAATCCCATCCCATCACCCAGCTCCAAACAGCTGCAGGTAACATTCACTTCCATTGGTTTCGTTCCTTAAAACGCAACTGGTCCCTTTTGGTACAGCCCAGCCAAAGTCAGTGTACTTGTCCAGCTGCTCCACTGCACAAGAAGCCCACAAGCACGTGAACGGTGTGTGTTAGTTCATGCATCTGGGAAACAGCCTGTGCCCCAGGGGGCTGCACTCTGGGTCATACCTCCTGGGAAGCAGCAAGCTTGCCCCGGGAGGGAACCATGCCGAAAACAGCTTCACATAACCAGGGTGATCCAAATGTCACCACCCACCAGGGAAACTGCAACAACGCGATTCCAATGAGTCAGTCTTTGCCTTTCTTCTGAGGTGGGGGGTGGGCAGAAGGGCCTAATCGCTAGATCGCCCTCCCCGCAGGAAGAAGACTGGGGGAGGCAGGAGAGCCAGGAGGGGGCTGTCACTCAGCAGCTGCTAATTTCTATTCATTAAAACTTTACAAGACAGCAGAGCCGAGGAGACGCCCATGTGTGGGCTTCAGGTGGGAGGGCTGGGGAAGGAGTCAGGCATCTCTGGGTCTGCTGCAGGGTGCGGTGCTGCGGGGGCTGCAGCCCTGTAAGCCTTGCACTCTTAGGCTTGAGATCCATGCCAGCGAGGAAGGTGGCGTTGCAGGGCCTGGGGAGCTGAGCACAAGGCCCCATAATAGCTGATGGC